GTATAAATAATTGTATTTGTCAATAAGACTAAGCTGACCCATTATGAACAGTCTGACAAATCAATAGGTAGAACAAAGGTAAAATAAATTTCTTTATGTTGGTTCAAGGTGGGTTTCCATCAGTGGATCGCTACTGCCTCCGCAGGTCTTAGTAACCGTGAGCTTCTGATTTAATAGATAATTCATCAAACATGGGTGTGATAGAAATCAATTGTTTTCTGCTGTATGAAATCAATTATGTGAAGGCCATTATATCTTCGAACCCATACTGCTTTTACGGTTCATTTGCTATCTGAATTTCAGGTGATTATTTTGTCATAATCGGCGAGCTACTGATACCTTTTTGTTCTATGCCAAATTCAAGTACATCGGATTGGTTGGTCTTTCGTCAGATGAAAAGATCATTGGAGATGTTATAGGAGAAGTGGATATTAAAATGACTTCCCGTGATACTTCTAAGTAAATAACAGCCACACTTATTCGGGGGAAATCAAATACTCAGTTGTAGAAAGCACGAGATTTTCCACCGCAACATTATATTTACAGTACTCGAAAATCATATCATCTTCTACTAGTAAAACGGAAGCCAGTAAAAGCTTCATTTCCTTTTAAAGAATACATTTCATGAATAAATCTGCTTTCCAGTTTCCAACGGTATTTTGAAAGCGAATCGAAGGGGACAACTTCCTTTGGTTTTATCTTTTGCTGAGCCAAGAGTTCAAATGAACGGACTAATTGTTGGATAGACTGCGAGGTGAAGCAATCAACAGTTGTCAGAGAGCAACATTCCACGAGAAATGGGATATATATATATATACATCTTTCACTCTGGCTTGAAGATAAGCATGGTGCCAACGCAACAGCAATGGTAAGATATAGCAAGGGGTACAGCTTGATGAAAACAAAAGGGAAAACATAGAAGAGAGAACGCATGAATGAATGAACAAATTTGTGTTATTTTTTATTTTTATTTAGTTTTTCACCGAACAAGTTTTTTGAAGATTTTTGTCTGTTATGGGGAACGGGATTTCGGAAACAAACCGTATAACGATCGCTTTACTAACTTTTATTCGGAGCCATATCTCTCAGCTCCTCTAATCATCGGCAAACCTCATCCCTTGGATCCCAGCCTAGAGAGCGAGCTGCAACGACCGAGGCCAATTCTGAGGCTAACTACTTCATACCTCTATACCAGTGGCGTGACCGTCGCGAGGTTTCTTCCAGTCTTGCACACCACGTGCAAGAAGAGCAAGGAGAGACAGACAATAGGCAGACATACGCAAAAACGTGATGGAATGGGAGATGAATGGATTGACAAATACTAGATTCCTTTCAGAAACCGTTATTCTTCGCTATGCTCACTGTACATTAGAATGCTAGTCAGCGTTAGCAAAAGCTTTCAGTGTTCACGGATGGAAAGAAATAATGTTTACTTAGAGCAGGATGAATGAAAAGGTGGAGCAATACGTAAAGTAATTAGCAGTAAAACGTACTTTGTCAGCTATATAAATGTTAATGGAACTTTTGAAACATGGAGTTCATTGGAAAAATGTATTTTTCAGCGCATACTGTACCCATGGAGGTACGAAACCACATTGATTGCATCGATCGTTTCACATTTGAATCACCGAGCCCGAAATCACGGCTATATGCAATCCAGCATGTAGCAGAAAAGCTGAATGCTACGGCAGAATTCACCGTAATCCACCGAGTATCATTACTATCTGTATAAAATTGAAGTTCGGTTGGGAGCGTGTGAGTTGTATAAACGTGAGAGTGGCGTCAATGCGAAAGTTCGAATCCCATTGATCCCAATGAACTTTACACAATTTCAAAATTAAACTAACACAAAAATGTAACAAATATATTTCTGTTTCCAATGTTGGGCTTATATATCAATAGCCAATCTCAAAGTTAAAAATTTATCATGAGAAATTCTTACAAGCGGTTGCTTTTCTTGTTCCATAAGGTTTGTCACACACATGCACCGATTTAAGGCTGATAGAAAGATAAGGAATGACACAAATTTTCTTTGTTACACACTACCACGGATGTCGAAATTGGAGATTTGACAATGATTCATCCAGCTTAAGCTTGAAAGAATCGATTATGGTGCAGAACCAAAGCAAGTTGGTTGGGAATTCCAAATGCTTCACACTCCGAGAGCAAATGAATGACAACTACATTCTAGCCAACAGTTTTGGAGCACTAATTTCAATGAATGCCCTCTGAGGTTAGTGTTGGGCGACAAGGCAACCAGTGAACGACATGGGTGATCAGGGTTACGCATTATTTTATACACCGAAATCAATTCCTCTCAAAATTGGCTATACTACGTAGAGTACAGCACCGATGATTTCATTCTTTGAATGCGGCCCTCGATCATCTTGGTGTTCATTATTTGTGGACGTTTCAGAATCCTACGAACACGTTGCAGCCATGCACTCCACGCTTAAAATTGCATACTCCATGTGGAATCGAATGTAGGCTGATGACAAACGGGGGAACAGCATAGATTGGAATTCGCCCAATACACGCCGGATCAAGTCAACATGTTTTACAGCGGTGGACGACGCCCTGGAGCACTGTAAGGAAGAGCTTAGGTCGCGGAACACGGAAGATGTTGATATCCCAAGAAACATAGAAATAGAGGTTTGTGGCGAAGGTATACGACCGTAAATTTGATGCAGTAAATTCGATGTCACTTTCGAATGACCAATGATAAGCGGCTTTAAGTATTCTCTGAAGTGCCAAGTGGGTAAGTGGTTAAGTCATCGGTTCTTGACTTGGTAATCCCGGGTTCGAACCGCTCCACCACCGCCCGTCTTCCCAATTTCTGTTTTCCCGGGCAGCCTTTGCATGACCGTGGCCTCCTTCGTAAAAGTTGACTGTAAATTTTTATATTCAATAAATAACTAAAGGAAGTAAAAAGATACTTATTTTATTATTTTTTAAAATTTTATTTAAGTCCTCAGGTTTTGTCACTTTTGTCTATTTTATTTTTAGTTGTCCGCAACCATCAACGTCTGTGGCCCTAGAATGTCTGTTAAATCGTTTATGAAAACTGGAAAAAGTAGAGGGTCAAGGACAGATCCCTGTGGAACTCTTCAGGCTACGTTGATAGCATCAGCAAGTAAACCAGAAACCTGAACTACCGTGGTTCGTTGTCAAAGAAATTCTGTTATCCGACCCAGCACAAGTTCACGGATTCCATAATTGTGTAGTTTCCTCAGTAGCATTTTGTGATTCACTCGGTCGAATGCTTTGAATAAGTTGAGGTGCGCTAAACTCGGTGCATCACCGCGATCGGCTGATTTTGTCCACTGTTCTCGGGCCAGAAGCAGGTTGGTGGTACACGATCCCTTGCGTTAAAACCCATGTTGCATCGGGGATAAAACGGTGTATTTTTCCCGGTGACCCATCACGTTGTCTGCAACAATGGATTCCATGACTTTGGACGTTACGGAGCGAGGAGTAACGGGGCAGTAGTGAACTGGATCACTACAGTAGCCATTTTTGTATATTCCTTGTTTTCGTGTTGGTGGGAGCGCAGTAATGTCGAACATTTGTTAGAAAGTGGTTGAGCTATGTCATTTGTTAGGTTGATAAAGGTTTGTGAATGGATGTTACTTGCCCCCGGAGATGAATTCCTTTTCAAACACTGCAGCTTCGAAGCTATGATTTCCAGGGAATAATCGAGTGTGGTTAGCATCGGATATGATATTTCCTAAAGTAACAGAGGTCCTCGTTGTCCGGTGTTCTCAGGTGCGCTGAACACTTAAACGTACTGACTTTTTAGCATTTCAACTGTCTTGTTTGTTGTGACTTGAGCACATCCTGACCGTCCTCGTGCTGGAAAGACAGAGTTGACTTCTCTGGAGGTATTAATGTGTTTGTACAACAGCTTGGAATTGGATATGAACTTACGCATCAGTATTTTTCTTGATACATCGTCTTGTATTCTTCCGCCAATTTCGCGCATTGGTTTTGAAGCAAACAGTTCAATGTGACTTTCGAACTGGTTCACTTGTACACGCCAATGCAACTGAAGGATCAAATGACGCAACAAAAAAGGGTCACGGCGTGACCTGAGAACAGACCGAAACCGCAATCAGGACGGATGGACAACCACCTCCCCTACCAACCTCGCCCCCACGCCCCAGTTTAACGGCGAGCCCAGTCGAACACAATGAGAATAAGGGGCAGCAATGGTCGGTGGAGAGGAACACATAAACGAACGGACACAAGCAGAAGATTGCCACTTCACAAGCACTGATGATGTCACCTCGGCTGGTGATGAAACGTTTGCAAACAAATTGCCAAGGTCGGCGAACAGGCGAAATGGAATTTTCTTGTATGTATGTTAATATACCGATATCCATTACAGTTATTCGTAACAGCCACCCTCTTTCCAGCACCGCCTTGTGGATTAATAACAATTGGTGCCGTCGCGAGGATCAGTATGAAGTTTCCATGGCCTGCAGCTCTCAAGTGTGGAATTTCCCGGAGGAGTTCGAGGACTTCGCGGAACTGAGGCGATACGATCTGACTGCGGTAATGTAATGATTATAGTAGTAGTAGTATTACGCACGGAATTCGGAACACGAACCAAGCAATAGGAATCACAGGACACGAATCTAAGATCAGCTATCACGGACTGGATCACAGAAGCACTGGACCGCACAAGCTCGCAATATCCCACGTGACTGAGACGTACGGAAAAGGCCACGAGGATGGTAGTTCGTAGTTCATTCGCTGGAAGAGATGAAGGCGATTAAATAATATGTACAAAAGAAGGTCATTGGTTATCCAGGCTTCCACCAATCGTACTGCAATACTGCTTGCGTAATTCTGCTTCCGTCTGCACTGTCTCGAATTGGCTGGCATGATCTGCCTATGGCGTGTAGTCGGAAGCCGTACGCGTGTCATTGACGTCACCTTTCAAATTTTATTGATCGCAGATGTCCAGAAACTGCAACGCGCCGCTCCCGGGTAGGCGTAATCACGTAGCCTGGATCACCACACATTTCGGTTATATACTAGTTCTCCGAGCTTACTGATGTGACCTGTGAACTTTAGTCCGTTATTTTCGAAGCAAGCGTAGCCACTTTAAAATTCGGTCTTTTCCAGCGGCCGACAACAGCTTCTGGTACTTCTGTGTGACACGTATGAATCACTTTACAATAGGGATTTTTCAAGCATCGTGTACAGAACGATATACATTCTGGCTGAACGGCTGTTTTGCCGCCACTTTGATTTGAGAAACTGTCATTTCAAATTGTGAAAGAAACGTTATGGTTTCATTCGCTTCCGTTAAGCTCACCTCAAGTTTTTTCCACCGCCGGGGATTGATCACTTGTCTTTCGATGCTCTTTCTGCTTTGCAATGAGACAGACCGCAGTAGTGCAATGTGTCAAGGTTGCTGACGGACGTTGATTTGATTGGTCGGTGGAGCCGTGTGATTCACGATAGACAGCTAAGCTGAAACCGATTCTATAACCACGAAGGGTGACGCACTGTTTCGCACGCGCTACATCTGGGGCACACCTGGTCGTAGTTACCCTGACATTGACGAGAGTTCAGTCATCTAATGTTACCACAGTAACTATGATCAGGGACGAGTTCAATGCTCTCAGTACTACGAGCGGTGCCCTTACCGTTACGCGGGTCATGGGACCATTCGAACAGCAAAATTTATTAGTATGCTTGGTTTGCGGATTTTGAGGTGGACTTTGGTAACTGAGCTGTTTTCCAGCAATGGCCCGGCAGCCACAACCATTATGCCTTAACTGCTCATTCTTCGCTAAACCCGCAGAACTAAAGAAACAGAACGCAGTCGATTTGTTTGTAAAAAAATGTGATACTTTGAAAGTTAAAAGAGGATACCAGTTGTTAGAGTAAGTATTGCATAAAGAACATAGCATCACACAACATTACAGCGGACCTTCTCTCTCAAGCTTGTCTGACCACTGTGGGAACTTTCAGAATGAAGTGTAGTAAACTTACGGCAAGATAATTCGATTGAAATGAATGTCAGTCCTTTCTATATGAGATTTGTTCACAAAGACAGTTACGGTCTCACTGGTAGTCTGTCTGATACATCATATGATGTTCGAGTCACTCCAATGCCTAAGAACGAAAGTTTAAAGCTTCGGCCAATCACTTCATCGTCGGTACTATTTAGGATTTCAGACTCTTTCCTGTTTCGTTAATCGCAATGATTGTTAAATGCAACGTCTGCGACGGTATCATCGCTTTCATGCAAGTGGCATTGTGATGCACTCCTATCTCTTCTACGAGGCGAATGATAACAGCACAATTTTTCTAAAGAATAATTGACGTCAGATAGTTCGTTCACTGTCACTGTTGCTGTTATCGCTGTCTACGCACGATCAAACAAAACGTAGGTTCCGGCGATATCCTTACCCGGGGTATTGCATTTTCTCGGTACCTCTCGAAGATCATTGAAAAAGGGCTAGTTGAAGAATGCTTGCAAAGTGGAATGATCGTTGCATCTTGAATACAACGCAGATCAAGCAGTCCTTAAGGAATGATAACTATTTTCTGCCCAACATTATGGCTTATTTGGATTGACGACGGGTTGCTCGTAATTGCAGAGTGATACTTGCTGGTGATTCCGCTAGCACAATCAACAGTGATCATACCCGCTTCGCTTTGTCTTGTTTCAAATAGCGCTATCTCATGCATCGAATCGCATATACGTCGCTTCATGGACCTTATGAATCGCACGGCGTTCAAGACGAACGAGGTCATTTTTGGGATAGTCAAAAGCCCTCAGTACGTAGGGAACAAATGATCCGTTGTTAACATGGAAATTGTTTGTTTCATAGAGTTTATATCAACAGACTCACTGCCATACTCGCAGTTTTCCTCCTGGATCTTTAAGTGGTAAATTCCCATAGCTGATTGCATCCACCACTCAGATGACCGAATTGATTGTATCACATGCATTCATCGTACCTGGTAGCCTTGCTCATACCCATCCTGATGAAAGTATAGCTCTTACAAGGCTCTCGATTGAGGTGCACTTGGGTCAGAATTTGAGGTAAGTCAAAATGTGCTTAGGGTCACTATGAGCCGTATAATTACACGCTCTAAATTCGAACTGTGTTACTTGTCAACCGTTCGACTGGGTTGATCAGGGCAAATCTGGCTAGATCAGCGGCAAACTGCGAAAACCTGATCGCCTAGTATCTGGCTTTGACTCACAAAAGGTCCGGTTATTAAGCAAATTACAGTCAGTCATCAACCCGTGCACCTGAAACCTCTGGGTTACAAATCACTTATTCACAAATGATAGGAAAGCTAAATTGTAAAACTATTTCTGATGTGACATATTAGATCTTTTCCACCAAACGATTTCAATATTCTAACAGTTAGGTCGGAGCCTAAGCAACCCGTCGGATCGCGCACGCCTCCGAGTCAGGGCACACGCACGCTCGCACTGCTCCAGACAGGCTGAACCTGATTGGTTGATCACAGAACATGTCACCCAATGTTTGTTCGATCGATCACTCGATATGTCAAGGACGCAATCTGATTGGCGCGTCACAGCGCCATTCTCGTATGCACGATTTGCTCTATATATTTGCGTATCGATATCTAATCATAAAATACACAGTGATTGTTGTCTCAAGCTGTGTTCTCTCTCCGCGTTATCGTGTGGGGTCAAGCAAGAGTCGCTCATGTCATTCGTACTTCTATTCCGAACACAACAACTGGCGACGGGGAATTTACGGATTCACAATGTCGAGCACGCCGGAGGAGTTACAAGACATTCTCAAACAGCAACAGGCACAATTCGAGGCCGCGCACCTAAGGATGATGGAAACCATGTTACAACGTCTCAGCACACATCCCAATTCAGCAAAACCGGTTAAACAGTCCACATCTATTGACGCTGTTGCCTGAAGCATCACTGAATTCGTGTACGACCCCGATGCAGGAACTACGTTTGATTCCTGGTTCAAACTTTGGGAAGATGTATTCCGTTTTGAATTCATAGATGCTGGTGATGGATGGAAGGT